GAAACTACCAGCCACTCTGCGGGAGAAAGATGAGGCTTTCTACTCCTGTAAAGATTTACACCCTCAGAAACCCTGTACAGGGTCGCTATGGGTCGGAACCGACTCGAAGGCACTTAACAACAACAACAATCAAAACTTAACATCTCTATTATTATTAACTGAGTAAGGTTAGATCTCCTTATGTGGCACTGTAGGATAAGCACTGGACTGATAACCACAAGGTCAGTGGTTCAAACCCATCAGGCACTCCTCGGAAACCCTGTAAAAAGGGTTGCTATGAATCAGAACTAATGTGAACTGGCACTTAACAACAACAACAACAACAACAGGGTTAGATGAGTTTCTGGAGAATCCCTCTACACATCCATTTTCCGTTTTCTACCCTAGGATAATATTGCCTACCCCAGGACTGTTTGTGGGCCAATAATTAAGACCCAGTCAAATATAGTAGCCGTAGTGTAGGCACTCAGATTTAGAAAGTGGGTGGTAGTTCAGGTTATCCCTGAAAACACTGGACACAATGACGTGTACTTTCTGGATGTTTATTGTGTGCCAGCCTCTATGCTAAGCGCTTTAACTGAGTTCATTTTATTCTTCCATGTGTCCTATGAAGTCTGTGCTACTGTTATAGTATGTTCCAGTTACATATGGGGAAATTGAGTCATAGAGAGGTTGCATTTGCTACTGTTACCTGTAGAGCCAGGATTTAAAGCTGGACAGTCCCACTCTTGAACCTGTTTCCTTAACATTCCTTTGGAACGCCTCAGTACCTGGCATACTGGGGGATCTTTAGATGGAGTAACACAGAGTGACAGACCTCTTTGCCCAGAGTTGATTTTGCATGCCCAGTATTTGTGGACCTCTTAAGGTTCTTGCCAGTTTTTACGTTCTGTGATTTCTGAGCCAGTCACGTAAAGATCTGATTCATGAGTGCTTTGAAGAAGAGGTGGGGGGGCTGATCAAGTTGACCACATAGAACTTTAGAGCAGATCCAGGTGGAATTCGGACTGACAGTGTACTCATGGGAAAGTTAGACTTTCTGTTTTGAGCTGAGTTAAAGGCATGAATAGATTAGTTTTATTGTAACAGTTTGACTCCTCCTCCCCCAACACCCCCACCTGGAGAAGTCCTCTGTCCATGATTTCTTGGTCCTCAGTGAACACACTTGAGAGTGGAAGTTTAGAGTTGTACAACCCCTTCACTCACTTCTACTTTTGTTCACCATCAACACTGGTTGGTGTTTATGGTGGGTCGTACGTAGTTCATGGCCAAATGGTCTGGTGCTTTAAAAACCAAAACCAAAAAACCCACTGTAGATAATGGTGATGGTTGCACGACGTGGTGAACGTAATTAATATCATTGAATGATGCATGCAAAAAATGTCGAAATAGCAAGTTTTGTTATGTGTATGCTCACCACATATGTGGAAAACTTCCTACCCATGCTGATGATATTCAGCATAGGAAAAGAAGATATGGTGTATTCACAGACTGAACTTGGAGGCATAGTAGAGGCAGGGTCAGCGGTTTTACTAAATTCCAGTAGAATTGTGCTTATTTTCTATCCTTGGTATGAATGCTGCTCAGATAATAATAACTTTGTTCAGTTGTGCTTAAGAAACCCTGGTGGTGCTTTGGTTAAAGTGCTTGGCAGCTAACTGAAAGGATAGCAGTTCTGACCCACAAGTGGCTTCGTAGAAGAAAGATGTGACAGTGTACTTGTGGAAAGATTTACAGCCTCGGAAACTCTGTGGGGCAACCCTGCCCTCTCCTATGGGTTTGCTGTAAGTTTGAATGGACTAAATGGGTGTGGGTTTGATTTTTATTTGTTTTGTTTCTTTATTGAATCTAAAATATTTACCT